TATTTACCTATGCCACCACCTTGGTTTCTCCCTCATAAATGAGATTCTTTTTTAAGTTTCTATTTCTGCTAGTGGTGTATAAAAATGCCACTGATTTCTTTTTTTTCTTTTTTTTAATATATTTTATTGATTTTGTACAGAGAGGAAGGGAGAGAGATAGAAAGCTAGAAACATCGATGAGAGAGTCATCGATCAGCTGCCTCTTGCACAGCCCCTACTGGGGATATGCCCGCAACCAAGGTACATGCCCTTGACCGGAATCGAACCCGGGTCCCTTCAGTCCCCAAGCCGACGCTCTATCCATTGAGCCAAACCGGTCTCGGCGCCACTGATTTCTTGATGTTCATTTTGTATCCTGCTACTTTACCCAATTTCTTTTATTAAATCTAGCAGACTTTTAGTGGAGTCTTTAGGATTTTCTATTTTCAATGTCATGTCACCTGCAAATAAAGATAGTTTTAGCTCTTCCTTTCCAATTTTGATACATTTTATTTCTTCTTGTCTGATTTCTATAGCTAGGAATTTCAAAAAAGAATAAGAGTGGCAAAAGCAGAGATCCCTGTCTTGATCCTGTTCTTAGGGGAAATGGTTTTAGTTTCTGTCCAGTTGAGTATGATGTTGGCTATCGGTTTGTTATATATGGCCCTTATTATATTGAGGTGGGTCTTCTATTCTCACTTTGCTGAAAGTTTTCTAAATAAAAAAATGGATGCTGAATTCTGTCTAATGGTTTTTCTATATTTATTGATTGATATTATCATGTGATTTTTTGGACTTCATTTTGTTTATGTGAAGTATCACATTTATTGATTTGCAAATATTGTACAGCTTTGCATCTCCAGAATAAACCCCACTTGGTCATGGTGTATGATCTTTATAAAGTATTGCTGGGTCCGATTTGGTAATATGTAGTTGAGGATTTTAGCATCTTAGATTATCAGGGATATTGGCCTGTAATTTTCTCTTTGTAGAGCCTTTATCAGGTTTTTAATTAGGACAATGCTGGCCTCATAAAAAGAGCATGGAAATATTCCTTCCTCTTGAGGTTTTTGAAATAGTTTGAGGATGACAGGTGTTAATTTTTCTTAGAATGTTAGCCAAAATTCCCCTGTGAAGCCTTCTGGGCCATGCTTTTGTTTGACTGAAATCAAACTCAGAACACTTCAGTCCACAGGCCAATACTCTATCCGCTGAGCCAAACCAGTGAGGGCTCTTCCTACTTATTATTTCAGCAGTCCCTTTAACATTTCTTGCAATGCTGGAAAGCTACATATTTCACCTTCTATTTTGAATGATTGTCTTGCTGGATATAGTAATCTTGGTTTCAGATCTTAGCTTTTCATTACCTGGAATATGTCATGCCATCTCTTCTGGCCTGTAGAGTTTTTTATTAGAAGTCAAATATCAGCCTTATAGGAGCTCCTTTGTAGGTAACTTTTCTCTTGCTGCGTTAAAGATTCTCTCTTTGTTTTTTATTTTTGGCATTTTAATTATGATGTGTATAGGCATGGATGGGACACTTTGGGTTCTTTGTACTTGGGATTCTCTGTGCTTTCTGAATGTGTGACTTATTTCCTCGTCCAATGATATTTTTTCCATTGTTTTTCAGAAACAGTGCAAGGGAGGGAAAAAGAGAGAAACTGATGTGAGAGAGACACATCAATTGTTTGCCTCCCACAAGTATTGACCAGGGTCTGGGATCAAACCTGCAACCTAGATACATGACCTTGAATGGGAATGGAACCTGTGGCTCTTTGGTACATGGGAACATGTGTGACTTTTTCCTTCACCAGTTTAGGCACATTTTCTGCCATATTTCTTCAAACAGGTTCTCTATCCCTTGTACATCTTTCTCTTTTGATACTCCTGTGTTGTGGATATTGTTACTTTTCATGGTATCCCACAACTCACTTAAACTGTCTCCTGTTTTTTAATTGCCTTCATTTCATTTAGTTCTCTTTTTGGAGATTCCTCCTGTTCTTTCATTTGAGGCCTATTTCTTTGTCTCCCCCTTCCCCCATTTTTTTTTTTTTTAATATTTGTTTCCTTGTGTTGGATAAGACTGCTATGCCTTCCAGTCTTGATGAAGTGGACTTTTGTGGGACCCAGTGATGTAGTCTCCTTAATCTTCTGAGGTGGGTGCTCTAATAATAACCTTGTTTGGGTTTTATGGCCCTTCCATTGTATTTGGGTCTTAATTGCTTTTGCCCCATTCATGGGTGGGATCAGCCCTCAGGCTTGCTAATTGTGAAGCTCAACCAGAACTACATGTTGTCAGCAGTTATATATGGGCTTACAGAACAAAGTAAGTCTGAACAGAAAGTAACATGAAAAAGAACCAACAACAAGAAAGACTGAAGAAGAAAAAGAAAGAAAAATACTAAGAAATATGACACCTAAAGAACTAGCAGCAGGGGGGAGGGGGCGGGGGAGGGGAAACAAAGAAGAGAATATGGAAGGAAGAAAATAGAACTGGATCTGGAGTGGAGCTCGCTGGATTTTGCTCTGTTATTGAGTCTGGCCCCTTGATGTGTCTGTCCCAGGCCTCCCGGTCCTCCTATGAAGGTCAATATGAGTCATTACCCTGTGTGGCCTTGGACACCTGACTGAAGCAGGCAGGGCCCCAGTAGTCCTGCCGCAAAGCTAGTAGCAGGGATGCTGGGTCTGCTTCAGGTCCCTGGTCTGAGATGCTCTCCTTTCACCTGTGGAATTGGGCTTTGAGGGGGAACTCTGTTCTTGGCCCAGATGGTTTGAACAGACTTGCATTGGGGGTCATTCCCTAGTTTGGGGGTGAGGGTAGAGATACTATAATACCTCTCCTTCCAATGCCTCACCTTTGCCTGGCCTGCTGGCACCCCTTGGGCACCTCAAACAGGAAGAGATAAGAAAATCAGCCCAACTCGGTACTCAATCTTTCAATGCCATGGGCCCCTGCTGGGTGGGGCATCTGCCCAGAATCCGACCAGCCAGATGTCTAAGCCCACTTGCCGCTGGGCCCAGCTGCACTGGCGCAGCTGTGCACCCAGAGCCGACTCCCTCACTCAGATCACTGCAGGCAGTGCAGAACCAGCTGCTCTGCAGGCCATGGAAGAGGAACTCCCCCTGCTTGAGCCCCACTGCCCAGTCCCCATTGGCTCTCCTCCAAAACTTCCTCTAGAGAACAAAGGGTCCCTCAGATTTACTGCTGGGTCTGCCTGTTAAGACCCCTCTGCTGGCACCCAGCTCTCTTGTGTGGCCCTTCTCACAGGCACGGTCAGGGCTAACTTCCCTGGCAGAAATGCAGCTGGATGATGGTGCTGCTCCTTCCAGCAAGTCTTGGCCTCTCCCACTGCCCAGAGCTCAGCTCCATGGCCCAGCAGCACCCAGGGCAGGGGAGGGCAGCCCCTGCCCCTCCCACACAGCAGTCCCTACCAACTACTGGTGTGGGGTGTGCAGGCTCAACACTGAGCCATGCTGCTCCTGGCACCCTTGCTCACAAGGAGGATTCTGCAATATCCCCAAACCTGTTCCACACCTGCAGAGCTAGAAGCATCCCGGGCAGCGGGGCAGCAGTGGGGCACAGAGGGGGACACCCATACACTCACGCACAGGCACACACACACACACACACACACACTCATTCCCCTACATGCTCTTCACACACACACTCTCATCCTCACACGGGTCCTGTGCTATGTTCTCATCTAGCTGCCCATTCTTCTTTAAGCTTCCAATTAATTTGCACCATACCACTCCTGAGGCCAGTAAAAATAATTGAGATAAAACTTGTTTATATAAAGGCCTTTCTTGGTAGTGCAATTTAATTGCATGGAGAGTTTTTGATTATTTCCTTTTCAAAATGTCCACTTGGATGCATTCTCTGCCAGAAAGTGAACACTAGGATGGAAATTCAATGTTGCATGTTCATCAACTGAGGGCTGCAGGCAAAAATGCTCCTTCTTATGCCAGAAAAGGAATCCCTCATTGCATTGTACTCCTCATCTATCCCTAATTATGCTGCCATTTTACACCTACCTGTCCCTGCAAATGCTTCAAATGACCCACAATCTTCTCCTTTACCCAGCTGTGATTCAAGTCCCTGCTTGGCTTTTGCTGCCTCCATGGGGCACCCTGCCCATCACTGAACCACCCCACCCCCACCCCCACCCCCACCCTTATAGTACATACTTTTAAAAAATAAATATATTTTATTGATTTTTTTTTTACAGAGAGGAAGGGAGAGGGAGAGAAATAGAGTTAGAAACATCGATGAAAGAGAAACATCGATTCAGCTGCCTCCTGCACACTCCCCACTGGGGATGTGCCCGCAACCAAGGTTTTTTTTATTCTTTTAAATCCTCACTCGAGGATATTTTGTCCACTGTTTTTTAGAGAGAGTGATAGGGAGGTAAGAGGTACGGAGAGACAGAGAGAAACATCTATGTGGGAGAGACACATCAACTGTTTGCCTCCAGCACGTGCCCTGACTGGGGTCAGGGGTTGAACCTGCAACACAAGAACATCTCCTTGAATCTGAGGAGACCCTTGGGTTGGCAGGCTGACGCTCTAACCAATGAACAACCAGCCAGTGCCCTTATAGTACACACTTTGATCAGATAGCACAGCAATGGTTTTTCTACAAGCCTGCCTCCCCATTGGGCCATGCATTCAGCGTTTAATCTTGGCTGAACTGAACTACATTTGCCCTTCAAATAAACTGAAAATTTCATGTGACATTGTAAAAATATATTTTCATTGAATTGAGTGAGGAAGGGTGAGAAAGAGAGAAACATCAGTGATGACAGAGAATCACGGGTCAGCTGCCTCCTGCACACCCCCTACTGGGAATCAAACCTGCAACCTGGGAGTGTGTACCCTGACAAGGATCGAAACCCTGACTGGTGCATGGGCCAATGCTCAACCACTGAGCTTCACCGTGGGCTCACATGACTTTTGAAAAGTTATAAAAACTGCATGGTTTTCCAATTATCCTAACACTACAATAATTTCATTTTTTATAGGCTTAAGTCAATTGGTCACCTTAGAACTGGAAGGAAACAATCTCAGTGAAACCAATGTTAATCCTTCAGCTTTCAGACATTTGAAGAGCCTGTCCTACCTGCGCCTGGGACGGAACAGATTTAGAATTATACCACAGGGTCTTCCTGCTTCTATCGAGGTACCAATGTTCTTTCTAATGTTTTATACTTTAAATACAGTATGCTACAAACCCCAAACTATACATTTTAAGAGATTACTGTGATGCATATTGAAGTTGGTAGTTTTGATGCTGTGTACATAACTTATGATAATTTGAACAGTTTTCTCTTCAAATTATATGAAATTATGAGTCAAAATTACAATTATGAGTAGAGACCCTTAAAAAAGTAAAAAATGGTCCTGATGACAGTTGGGAAATGAGCTGGCAATTTAAACAGAAACTCCAACCTTAAAAAATACCCTGACTTGCAAGATAGTTTTAACTGTCCCAACGGGATTGGCGCCTATACCCAGCTTGCTCAGCCCGGAGCCCCTCCTAAGCTAGCAGTGGCCCTGCATGGATGGAAGCCATCCTCCCACCTTCCCAGTCCTGACGCTCCCACCTGGCCAAGACTGCCCCAGCTCACCTCTGGAGATGCCGCTGCTGCAGGGGGTGGCCGCCAGGGCGTGGGCTGGGAGCCCACTGCAGAGTGGCCTGGCACAGCCTTGGATTGCTGTGCCCTGGGCTGCACCCAGACTGGGGCTCCTTTCGCACTTTATTTTATTTATTTATTTGTTTGCTTGTTTATTTATTTATTTATTTATTTTAATATATTTTATTGATTTTTTACAGAGAGGAAGGGAGAGAGATAGAGAGCTAGAAACGTCAATGAGAGAGAAACATCAACCAGCCGCCTCTTGCACACCCCCCACCGGGGATGTGCCCGCAACCAATATACATGCCCCTGACCAGAATCGAACCAGGGACCTTTCAGTCCGCATACAGATGCTCTACCACTGAGCCAAACCGGTTTCGGCTCCTTTCGCACTTTAATAAGTGCGCTATACACAGTTTGGAACCCACTGATCTAGTTTGCACCCAAATGCACACGAAGGAAAAAGCAAAGAGTTAGAAGTCTCTACCAATTTCTGATAGAGAGCAAAATTAAGTAACGAAGAGGGGAAATTTCTACAAAAGGAACAAAAAGTCACACTGGATATACATACCAATTCTACTTCTGAATTCCAATATCCTTGTTGTGTGAAAACTGTAATGCCAAATGAAATCACATATGAAGACAACTAGCTGCTGGACATTAAAGTTCTAGTAAACTTCTCCCTGACATTACAATACAAAAGCAAGGCCAGAAAACACGAGCCTAAAGATATTACAGACAGCACTTGTGAGTGAGGCCACGCTAGGTCGAGTTCCGTCATATTCGATGAGCGAGTGACACTGGGCATGGCTGCTCATGTCCCAGGCCTGATTCTCTCTAGTGCTAAGTGGGATGATACTTTCTACTTATTTTCTTGTCAAATGAAATAATTTATGTGAAAAAAGTTTTATAAATTAGGAAAGCTTTATCCAGTTATTACGGCATATGATATCTTGTAACATTTTATGGTTAAAAATTCTATATAACAAAGAGGTAATATGCAAATTGATTGTCATGCCTTCATACAAGATAGCCACCCCCAATTGGTCACAAGGTGGCCGCAACAAGATGGCCAGCAGGGGAGGGCAGTTGGGGGAGACCAGGCTGGCAGGGGAAGGCAGTTGGGGGAGACCAGGTTGGCAGGGGAGGGCAGTTGGGGGCAATCAGGCCAGCAGGGGAGCAGTTAGGCTCGCAGGGGGTGATCAGGATGGCAGCCGGGCAAGCAGTTGGGAGTCAGCAGTCCTGGATTGTGAGAGGGATGTCCAACTGCCGATTCCCCCAAAGGGATCAGGCCTAAACTGGCAGTCAGACATTCCCCAAGGGGCCCCAGATTGGAGAGGGTGCAGGCTGGGCTGAGAGAGACCGCCCCTCTCCCAATAAAATGACACACAAAAATGTATTGTGTGTCATTTTATTTAATTACTAGAGGCCCAGTGCATGAAATTTATGCACTGGGCCTCTAGTAATTAAATAAAATGACACACAATACATTTTCTAATTAGAAAATTTGACAGCTTAGAACATGAATTCCCTTGAGGGGGCAGTAAAGGCTTTAGATAATACTAATGAGAACAGCCTACAATGCTATTTTAATTTCTATAAAATTGAATGTATTTAGCAACCAACAGGAAAAACATGTTTTTTCTCTTAATTATAGGAATTATACTTAGAAAATAATCAAATTGAAGAGATAACTGAAATCTGTTTCAATCATACCAGAAATATCAATGTCATTATTCTATGTCACAATAAAATTGAAGAAAATAGGATCGCTCCTTTAGCCTGGATAAACCAAGAGTAAGTATATGTTATAATTAGGCTTTTTGAGACAATTCCTTCCTTCTGCCATTACTGACGAGGGTCTGAACATGGAGACATGACGGAGGTGGCAGCAGCCTTTCTTAGCGAACCCCTCCCGCCCCAGAACGTGGCCACCTTCATAGGGTTCAAATGTTGATGTCATGGCGCGTGTGAGGATGAGTGACCACAGTCACTAACACTGTGGACACCAGCCAGACGGAGCCCGCGCAGAGGCACGAGGTCTGACCACCATGACACGCACTCTGTGGACCTCACTGGGTGGTCTTGCAGGTTAAGGAGTGACCCCTGCACAGAGGAAGGAACCTGCCCTTCCCCCCGTCCCCTCAGGTAAAAGCGTTGGGCTGCACTGCCCCACACCCTCCAAACTATCTCCATCTCCAGTCTTACAAAACAGATGAGAATGCTTGGCCCAGCCGCAGCCCTCACGGAAGGGCCAGCATGGAAGCCTTCTGTTCAGAACGGAGAGTAAGCCATGTGGGAAAGTGGGTTGAGCCTGGATCAGATGTCATTGCCATTTCTTTGCGGGAACTATTGCAGACTAGGAATAGGCAATCTGATGTTGGCCAGAACTCCCTGGATTTCACTTCTGAGTCAAGTCTGACTTTAGGGTTATTTGGGGACTTCCTAGAGCTCACGGCTACCCTTCTGAATCCTGGTGCTCCTCTCTGTGGAAACCAACTGGCTGTGCCCAGGTAAGCACATGCACAGCCACGGTGGCACCCGGTGGTATCCCTGCACCGAGTGCTGGAAGGAAAACCTGCAAGCATCCTGATGGCCTTGGCTAAACTTACAGCTCCCAGCCGAAACCGGTTTGGATCAGTGGATAGAGAGTCGGCCTGCGGACTGAAAGGTCCCAGGTTCGATTCCGGTCAAGGGCACGTACCTTGGTTGCGGGCACATCCCCAGTGTGGTGTATGCAAGAGGCAGCTGGTCGATGTATCTCTCTCATCGACATTTCTAACTCTCTATCCCTCTCAATTCCTCTCTGTGTAAAAATCAATAAAATATATTTAAAAAATAATAATAAATAAATAAATAAATAAATAAATAAATAAATAAATAAATAAATAACAATACACTTAGAGCTCCCAGTCCTGCCCTGACGCACCGTTGATTACTCGTTTCTTTGCTGCAGAAATCTCGAATCCATCGACCTTTCCTACAACAGGCTCTACCACGTCCCCTCCTACCTCCCCAAGTCGCTGCTGCACCTCGTGCTCCTGGGGAACAGGATTGAGCGCATTCCTGGCTACGTGTTTGGCCACATGGAGCCAGGCCTAGAGTACCTGTACCTGTCATTTAACAACCTCTCTGATGACGGCGTGGACCGAGTCTCCTTCTATGGGGCTTACCATTCTCTGAGAGAGTTATTTCTGGATCACAATAACTTCAAGTCGATACCACCAGGGGTACAAGAAATGAAAGCACTACATTTTCTGAGGCTGAACAACAACAAGATACGGTAAAGTTTGGTTTTTTCAAGTACCCATTTGAATTGTTGCGACTGACAAAACGTATGATTAAACTACCATGACATGATGTCTGGGATTTACTTTAAGAAAAAAAGTGATGAGAGTTGCATTAAGCCAGATTGGTAAATGTTAATAACTGTTGAAGCCAGAAGATATTACATACATAAGAATTCACTGTTTTCTTCTAATGTTATATATTTGCAAACTTTCAGAGTAAAAATTTTCCCAGTATTATTATATAACTAGAGGCCTTGCACATGGATTCGTGTACCAGTGGGGTTCCTCGGCCCAGCCTGTGGGGATCAGGCTGAAACTGGCTCTCTGACATCCCTTGAGGACACAGGCCAGGCTGAGGGACCCCACCAGTGCATGATTGGGGCCAGGAAGGAGCCGTGGGAGGGCTCCAGGGCACATCAGGCCTAACTGGTCCAGTCCCGAGTGGCTGGACTCCAGCAGCAAGCTAACCTACTGGTCAGAGCGTCTATTCTCTAGTGATCAGTATGCGTCATAGCAACTGTACAGTCAAATGAATGGTGCGACACTTAGCATATTATGCTTTTATATAGATACTTAGAACATTAAAAACAGGTTGAAATGGGGCATCAGGCATTAGATTATGATGCTGATAATTCTAAATACGTTTATGAAGACCCCATGTCCCTCACCTGTGGAGACACACTCTGATGTGTTCCTCTCCCCAGGCTGCATGAGGAGCAGGGTTCACCGGGAACCTAGGTTAGTGCGTTAACAGGAGAGGCAGGTCACTGACCGTGACCCTGAATAGTGTCCCAACTCTTTTCCATAGTTCTCAAATTCCAAACACATTTAAACTAGACAGGAAAAGGGTCAAGAGTTTCTAAAAGCCTGTGGAAGAGGTGTGGTGGGGTAGACTTTGTAAGATTAGCTTTCAAAATATTTGGCTAAAACCCTTGCAAGGTCAGGCTATATGCTTGCCTCCTCTTTCACTGCCTTAGGAGACATCGGCCTGTTTGTCCTGCTTCAGGCGGGATTTAGGCGGCCACGGCCTCCATTATGACCTTTCTCCTCCACCCCTAAACCAAAGGCCTCACACACGGATGACTGTTGCTTAAGTCTGTTATTTCCCTACGGGTAATAAAATGGTGAATTTTTGTTTTTGTCATTTTTTTCCATATTTGCTAGCTGGAATTCTTCTGTAAAGAAATTTTCTTATCAACTAGGGCCATTTTGTTACTCTGAAAGGTGAGATAAATGATCAATTCTCTTTTTAAACTGCCAGAAGAAAAAGCTGGTTCCATATTTGGAAATATGAAAGGTGACAGATGTTAACTAAACTTACTGGGGCAACTATTTCCCAATATATACACACATCAAATCATTTGTTGTACACCTCAAATAATACAATATTATATGTCAACTAGAGGCCCGATGCATGAAATTGTGCAGGGAAGGTTGTATGCAGATTGACCATCAACTACAAAACATAAGATGGCTGCCCCCATGTGGACACAAGATGGCCACCACAAGATGGCAGCAGGGGAAGGCAGTTGGGAGGGACCAAGCCTGCAAAGGAAGGGCAGTTGTGGGTGATTAGGCCAGCAGGGGAGGGCACCTCCTGCACCCTCCACAGTCCTACAAGGATCAGGCCTAAACAAACAGTCGGACATCCCTCTCACAATCCAGGACTGCTGGTTCCCAACTGCTCACCTTCTTGCCTTCCTGATTGCCCCTAACTGCTTCTGCCTGCCAGCCTGATCACCCCCTAATCACTCCCCTGCCAGGCTGATTGATGCCTAACTGTTCCCCTGCCAGCCTGTTTGCCCCTAACTTCCCTCCTCTGCTGGCCTGATCACCCCTACCTGCTCTCCCCTGCAGGCCTGGGTCCCTCCCAACTGCCCTCCCCTGTTGGCCATCTTGTGTCCACATGGGGACAGGATCTTTGACCACATGGGGGCAGCCATATTGTGTGTTGGAGTGATGGTCAATCTGCATATTACTCTTTTATTAGATAGGATAGAAGCCTGGTACACAGGTAGTGGCCAGCTGGTTTGCCCTGAAGGGTGTCCCAGATCACGATGGGGGTTCCCTTGAGGCATGAGGCAGCCTGGATGAGGGGCCTGTGGTGGTTTGCAGGCTGGCCATGCCCCCTGGCCATCCAAGTGAAGGACCTGGTATCTGGGGTTTATTTATCTTCTACAATTGAAACTTTGTAGCCTGGAGCGGAGCCAAACCTTCTGCATGCTCTGTAGCAGCAGCCATTTCTGTTGGGATTTATGTATCTTCTATCATTGAAACTTTGTAGCCTTGAGTGGAGGCTTAGGCTGGCAAGGGCAGGTGGAAAGCTTGGCTTCCTCCATTGCCGGGGAAACCCAAGCCTCCTTCCTACTCTCTGTGGCTGTAGACATCTTTTTGGGGGTATATTTGCATATTTGCTTCTGATTGGTTGGTGGGTGTGGCTGGTAGGTGTAGCAGAACAATGGTTAATTTGCATATTACTCTTTTATTAGATAAGATTACATCCCTATAAAACTGTAAAATTATATAGATGTATTATATATGAATAAAAAGATCATAAAATATGTTAAAATGTTAATAGTGGCTATCTCAGGGAAAAATTAATTGGTGATTAAGTGTTTTTGTTTTATTATTTTGTTTTGGCTCTCTCTCTGGAGAATCAACATGGACTTACGGTTCTGCACATTTGGGATGTTTCAATCAATTATAATTATTGCTCTTACACTGTCCTATCCTTGGCCAATGTCCTATCCTTGAAGCTGGCTCCTATGTACTTGGACCATCCACATTGCCCCTGGACAGTTAACTATACATTTCCTACTGCACACCTGGGCCGGCCTTGCTCCAGAGCCCAGCTCCTCTCATGGGGGCAGTACCAGAGGATCCAATCTGCACACCACGCATGCTCCTCCCAAGTGTGCTGTTGTGCTTTGAGGAGGTTAAGTGAACTGCCAGAAAACATGCAGTTTGTAAAGAAAAAGAATGAGTTTATACTGACATTCCCAATTCAAATCTAACATTATAGAGTATTCCTTTTGTTTTAAACTTATCGTGCAATGAAAATCCAACAATAACAATTTACATGTATTATATTAAAATATAAAAACATTAGCATGGAAATGATAAGACCATTATTATGAGTAACACAAGAGAGTCTGTGATATCTTTGGTAGCTCTATTTCTGTACAGTGTGCTCCAAAAAGGATGCACACCTGAAATACAGCCGTCTTCTCTGTCACAATGAGTTAACAACTTAGTACCTGCTCAGAAATGGTCTTCATTTTTGGTTTTTAGCAATTGTATTTTTCTATTTAATATTATTTTTCCTATGTTAAACATTTATATGATTCCAAAATCAAAACTGTATAACAAATAAGTTTTTCTCCTATGTTTATCCCTTACACTGTAATCCATCCTTTCCCATATGTTAAATTTGTAACTTAACTTTTAGTTTATCCTTCCAGTATTTCTTTTGGAAAATACTGGGAGCATTTTCCAGTATTTCCAATATGTAAATACATACATGCATATTAATATTCCCCCATCCTTCCCATAATTAACATACAAGTATTCCACAGAAAACTTTATTTACCTCTCTAGAGAATGTGCTTACTTTCACACTTTACTTTTTCAAAATTATCCTTATGTCAAGGATATCATTCCATAACAGTATATAAAGAATTTCTTCATTCCATTTTATAACTGAATAGTATTGTACTTTGCAGATAAATTATGCAACCATTTCCTTATTGATATACATTTTATTGTTTCCATTCTTTTACTACTACAAATGCCAAAATACACAACTTTGTTCAATTGCTTTTTATTTTTTTAGTCTCACTTTGGGATCAATTCCTAAAACTGGGGTTGCAGGGTGATAAAATACACATGTAATTTTGCTAGATAATGCAAAAATTCTTTTGATAGAGCAGTGAATTCCCTTCAGAGGTGTTTGGTCCTCCACAGCCTCATTGTCAGGACACGTGGACGAGCTTTTGGACTTTTGGGTAGCAAATCTGGTGAGAGTGATAGCCAGCATACTTTCAATTGACAGTTCTCTCATCATGAATGAAACTGAGTATCTTTTCACATTCACACATTTCATTGTTTCTTTTGTGAACTAGTTACCTTCTCCCCCCCCCCACCCCTTTCCCCTTTCCTTCTAGATGTTTAGGTCTTTGTATATAAGCCCTTTATCTATGATAAAAGTTGCAAATATCTGCTCCTAGTTTGCCATTTGTCTTTTAAGTGCATTCTTTAACACCCAGTAGTCAATTTATTAATCTCATCTTCCAGAGCTTCTAGTTTAAGTCACAAGCTGGAAGATCTTCCCTGAACCCAAGGCACAACCATACTTCTGACCGTAATACAGAATTCTGGTCAGAGTAAATGTCTTCATTTACTCACATTTAGATCTTTGATGTATTCTGAATCTTTTCTGGTATATAATATAAAAACGGGCTCTAACTTTATTAAATGAAAAAATAAAATTTAAAAATAAATATAAAATTTAACTCCAAAATTATGAAGGCAGAATATTACTTGAACCATTCTGACTTTCACGTCTACTTTTCCTTAGGCATGTTCTCCCAGAACAAATCTGCAATGCCAAAGAAGATGACGATTCAACACTGGAACATCTTCATCTTGAAAACAATTATATTAAAACAAGAGAAATATCACCCTACGCATTTTCATGCATAAGATCATATTCAAGTATTGTTCTTAAGCCACAGAATATAAAGTAATTCTGCATGTCCTTTGTCAATTAAACCTGTATTTATATATTTACTGTAGCAGCATTTATCATCAAGAAAGACATCATGTTATGTCACACTCAGTATTATTAAGCTAGTATACCTGATTCATGAGAGATGAACAGCAAAAATACATCTAGAAGGTGTAGTCTTCTAGGACTTTTAGCGAAGGCTTCAGTTTCAGCTGGAGAATGAAGCCATCCCCCTGCAGGGCTCCCTCAGGAAGCAGGAGACTGTGCACTGCGGAGCAGACTGTGAGAATCTGGGACAAAGTATGCTTGTCCTTGACCAGCAGCCTGTGACCAGCGCTATCAGCGGACACTTGAAGGCCATTTACAAATTGTGTAAGTTCTGTTTCAAAACCAGGAAGTGCGCAGAAAAAATTACTAGTGGAAGTTATGAATGAGTGTTCTGTTTGTTACTCCAATGTTAAAACAATAATATATTAATTTTCAACTCTAGCTGGTTTGGCTCAGTGGATAGAGCATCAGCTTGTGGACTGAAGGGTCCTGGGCTCAATTCTGGTCAGAGCACATGCCCGGGTTCTGGGTTCAATCCCCATTAGGGGGGCAGGCAGGAGGCAGCTGATCAATAATTCTCTCTCATCACTGATGTTTCCATCTCTCTCTCCCTCGCCCTTCCTCCCTAAAGAAATCAATAAAAAAATTTTAAAAAATGTTTTTCTTAAAGAACTGATGATACAATTATTGGTATAAGTACACTTAATTACTGGGTCAGCTTTAGTTTATTCTATTAATTATATGTGTGAAATTAAAACACTATTGTATTGTTAATTTCCTGGTGTTGATAATTGTACTATGGTTATTAATGTGATTATTAATATTAGGGGAAGCTGGGAGGATACACATGTCCATACTATTTTGAAAGTTTTCTGCAATTCCAAGAAGTGTAATAGTATATTAAGATTACCATATTTCTTTATTCAAGATCAAAAGATTTTATGAAAAGCAATGGAATTTGCTTAAAATAGATTTTCTTAATCTTTGACCCTACACTTACAAATGTAACCTAGCGCATGAGATTTTGGAATCTTCACTCTATTGGTCACTCTTAGCACTCATCTTCCTTGCCCTGATTTGCTCAAGGGTATGTGTCCTTCCACTCAGTTCAATTTAACACAAAACTATCATTAGTCACTATGTATCAGACACTACCAAAACCTTTTATCTTTAGTTTAAATAATTTATAATAGACACATGTAGAAACGCTGCTGAGTTCTTTGTTACTATCAGTTTTGTGTCTTGAAAGAGGCTACCCCAATCTTGAACTGCGGTTATTTAATCTTTTAATATTTCTCTCACCCCCTCAGAATCTCCCACCCTCACCTGACAAGGCTGTTATGAGAAGCACACATGAAAAGCATCTGGGAAGTGTATATGCATGTGTGTACGTTTCATATAAAATTGAGACAACTAGCATATTCACCAAAGTTGATTATTACAGATAAAACTAATTCAAATTATACCAGGAATCAGATATAATTATACCAGGAATCAGGTACCTGAGTGCCAATCTTGGTCATCCTAGTCGACTTGTGAAAGTTCAGTTTACCTGAGCATTAATTTCTAAGCCTTCTAAGTCCCCTTGTATTAATAGCTATTTTGAGATTATAACATAAACAAGAATAATAATGTGATGGAGACTATTAGAATCAAAAGCCAAGGATTAAACTAGGTGGTTAAAAACAAAAAAATAATCTATGGAATAAAAAGTTGAGATATATAACTAGTTTCAAAATATAGGAGCATTAACTAATTTAAACTGGCCAAGTTGAATTTAAGAGACAGGTAAAAATAAGAAGATATGGCTATCCATTCATTTAACAAGAAACCTCTTGATATGTGAATATAAATGCATAGACCTATAGCGATTTTCAACTGATATACCTCAAGTGTCTTAGAAACATGAAATACCTGATTAGTCAGGGGCACTGACCTCCTTTTCTCTTACATTGTCAAAAAGTAACAACAGCAGCCCAGCTGGTGTGGCTCAGTGGTTGAGTGTCACGGTTCAATTCTTGGTCAGGGCATATGCCCAAGTTGTGGGCTCGATCCCCAGGCAGGAGGCAGCCAATCCATGATTCTTTCTCATCATGGATGGTTCTATATCTCTCTCCCTATCCCTTTCTCTCTAAAATAAATAAAAATATACTTTAATAAAATGATAACAGCCATCAAAACAATAGCCATCCTGTGTAAAATTATACCTATTTTTTTTTTTGTCAGATCGGCAAAAAACAAAAAACCACCTTATTTTTTTGGTATACCATAAAATTTTAGTAATTAGTGTGTGCCATGAGATGAAAAAGGTTAAAATCGCTGGTTAAAGGCAATCTAAACAGTAAACAAAATCATTTTTGGAGGGGGCTCAACCTGAATAAAGTGATTCAACAGATTTAGCATCCTGGGACAACACAGATGGATACTGAGCCTTTCCTACACTCCTTTTTCATTCAGCTTTAATTAGCTATGTTCCAGATGCTATTCTTAAAAGGAGATAAGAAGATTTGATGAGAACTGCTCTTGGAGCACCCAGTGTGGTAGGGGCAAAAAGTAGGAAATCAAAAAGACAAGCAAACCAATAGGCAGGCAGAACAGGATGCGAAGCAATGAAGCATGGTGGGTCCTGAGCCCCCTCTTCTTGAGTCCTCCTGGCCCCAAGTTTTAAGAGCGTCCAAGCTTCATGAGACCCAGGCAGACTGAGCAATTCCCAGCAGCCTTGGATGACACAAGCACCCTGTGGGGAGCAGAATCGCTAGGAAGGCTGAAAATCAGAAAGACTGACTGAAGCTGTGTTCTTAAGTCAGAAGAAAAAATCAGTTACTTCAACTGATTTTACTATAATTAATATATGAAATGTCTGGCACTGAACTTTTGCAGCCTTGAAATTTCATCATGCTCTTCATAAGAAGTTTCAAATACATTAAAAAAAAAAAAAAAGTGATCAGTGTCCTGATAGCAAACATTCTTCACAATGCAATGTTAGAAAACACGCAGATTTCCTATAATTACTAACACATATGTATACAAAGGAACTGCTGATCTAGTCATGGTCTGAAAATATGAATGGTGTCATCTTTGCATATTATGTACAAGGAATACTAATTACATTTTTAATTTTGAGACTTGGCTTATTATAGATAAGACTAGAGCCCGGCCTGCACCTTCTCACAATCTAGGGCCCCTAGGGGGGATGTCCGACTGCCAGTTTATTGGCCTAAACTGGCAGTCGGACATCCCTCTCACAATCCGGGACCGCTGGCTCCTCCCTGCTGGCCGGCCTGCCTGCCTGCCTGATAGCCCCTAACCACTCTTCCTGCCTGCCTAATCACCCCTAACCACCTCTGTCTTAGCCCCCACTGCCGTGGCTTCGTGTGGAAAGACGTCTGGAAGGTCATTCGGCTATCTGGTCTAATTAGCATATTATGCTCTTATTATTATAGATACTATTTCAAAAAGCACAGAAGACTTGATATGGTGAAGGTATGTATAGCCAAGAATCGTAAGAGAGTAACTGCCCAAAGATGGGTTACCTAGTGCCTACCTGGGTCCTGATGATGAACTGGGCAGTCGTTTCCCTTTCCTGGGACTCAGTGAGCTAACCATAGAGCAGCTGTGTGGACAGGCCAGTGCTGTGTGGCCCAGCAGGGGTCATGGGCCTGAGGAAGATGTATTGCTTAAGACTCTTCCTTTGGACGAAGGAGCTTTGCTACCGTCTGAAAGAGCTAGCTGCCATTGCTCCTCCTTTGTTCCTTAAAACAAATAGAAAGGAACTATCTAAATCACATGCAAACTTTTAAGATTCACAAAGAACATGCAACCAAAGCCCCTGGTCCTCCTCTCACCTTCTGCCCAACAGCCAGGCTGCAGAGTGTGGCCTGAGCAAACGCTTCTCCGGATGCAGTCAAACTCTGTGTATCTGGGCAAGAACGTTCAGTTGGTGAGTCTGTTCCTTCGAGCTCCAGCACCACAGAGCCCGAGCACATCTGCAACAACCATAGACTGCTGACCTTTGGCCCAGAAACCCTGAAAGGCAATCAGCGGAGCGCAAGTTCTGCAGGATGGCTAGAGCGTGGCACAGACAAGGCTCATGCATCCTCCACCTCTGTCTGACTTGGGCCTTACCCTGCATCTGCTGACGGAAGTCCACAAGGCCAAAAGTCTGGGCGTGTGCACTTTTGAATTTGAGGGCACAGGTACCTGGTGTATTGGGTGCTGCCAAAAGGGTGAGGAAGATGCAAGAACCTCTCCGTTGGCTCCCACTGTCAAATGACTCCATCATTTAGGAGTTGGCATCGTTAAGGCAAAGTCAATTAATTCTTAAGATAACAGATTTTGACTAAAAATCCAAGATGGCAGAGGATTAAGTGAAGTTACACTAATTTCCACCCAGGACCCAGCTAATGTTAACACTACTCCTAAACAACAGAAAGGAATCTGTACATTTTAAGGATTTGTACAGAAAAAGTGATAAACTGAACAGGAAAAGATTTGTATATACATAAAATTAATAAAGAATGATTTCTCTTATTAATATTTCCTGCATAAGAACTTCAGAAAGCTAGAGCATACTGTACAAACAAGTCACATTCTGACAGCTGGTAATACTTAGGAATCAACTAGCTTCTCTGCATAGCAGCAGCATTGCCTAAGTCCCCAAGCCATCATTTAAGCACACCAGGGATCACTCGGTTCCTAGATGCTGACATAAAAGAATGAAGTACTCAAATTCTGCTGTTCAAGTGAAAACTCCAAGGGCTGGGTGAAACCCTCTACGATATTTAGGAAACAGTGTCCTCATAGGAGAGGTATGTACAGACTGACACGATAACTATTCCTGTCTGCAGCTGAAGAGGCAAGCTTAAAATTCAAACACACTAACAGTACCCTGAAGGTCAGAAGTCCCGGCCAGCTCTCACTGACGCTGGATGACCGGGGCCCCTACATCCTAGAAGTCTACAGAACATGTGG